TTGATGTACCCTAAAAGTTTAAGACTATTGAGTATTTGAATTTGACCCAAGAGTATTAATCTACGAGTCATGACAAAGGATAGAAAATGATATTTATTTCATTGACTGAGAGAGATTTATATCTAATAAAATATATCAATAACTAGACAAACCCTCCATATATAAATATTTGATGGAACAGACAGGAGAAAAAAAGCTAATTTATAAGTACTCTAACATACAATTAAGAAAATATCACTTGGAATATAAAGCAATCTCAAGTAGTTTGCCTGAATCTCCATCGGCCCAAAAAGAGACAGATGAAGACATAGATGAGAATATTTCAGAATTCTTGAATGATTTTGAATGGCGGTACGAGTTTTCAAACCATACTAAACTCTAGCTTTAGCTACAAAATCTTCAAAATACTTCTTAATGCTGAAATAATGAACAACAGCATCCCTCTGTTATAAATGAAGATCAACAACTTTTGAGATCGCAATAAAACAAAAATATGACGCTACCCTATGAATTTATAATAGAAAAAAATCTAAGTAAGGTAGGCTAAGAATTCATCTTTAAAAACTAAATTGACTTTCATCTCGCTTAATCCAAGGAAAATGACTCAACCAAGAAGTAAGAATTTTTGTAATCAGGAATGTCCTTTGAACTCTAAGGTGAGTACGAGAATGAGAAAAAGTAATAAAAAGTAGATATAAGTGATGTCAGTCATAAATTAGTATAAAATTTTCACAGATCTCTTGAAGAGTCAGAACTTATAATAAATGATATGTAAGTCATATCCTTAAGTGAAGCTGATAGTAAATAAAGCAAAAAGTAAACTCCAATGGAATTGAGAAAATAATTTCTAGAGGAAATCAGTAGGATTCTATAGAGTTGGAGAATAAATGATTTCCTAGTTTTCTAAACAGCAGTATTCCTTATTGATAAATATGCAGAGAAATCATTTTTATTTTGCTAGAAAATTTGTGACGTCTCTAAACTAAGAATTGCATCGATAGCGTCATTACAAATTTCATTAAAACTCTGGGGGATTGAAAAATCTCTTGGCCAAGTTATTAATTCTTTCAAGCCACCCTCTCTATAGCATATTTAGATGAAATAATTAATTGACTAAGTATGCAAAATGGAGACAAAAATATTGCGAGCAATATAATTTAAAGTGCTCAACTAAACCGACATTTACTCTCAAAGTATAATCATATTTGAGAACTTTGTACAATAATAAAAAGATTCGAAAATTCTTAGGGAATCAATTCAGATTATTCTATAAATCATCAAGCTAACGTGCTTTTACTTATTACTAAATTATACAGTATAATCTATAATGGAATTCAATGAGACAGAAAATTTGCTTTTTAATCAGCATTTGATTGTCAAAACAATTGTCTCAAAAGCGATTAAAACTTATAAAGACATCGTAAGAGAAGACATATTTCAAGATAGCATCACAACAGACAATAACATAATGATTAAAAAGGAATCATGCTAGAGATTAAATGAGATTTCTCAGATTTATAAATCATTCAAAAGCGAGCACTTGAAAACCATTAAAGACAGATAAAATATTAAATTGTTATTAAACAAGCTTCAATATTTAGAAACAATTAGACTATGAGAAATTTAATTCATATATAAATTATTTAAATTGAATTATGAATATTACCAATTAGCTAAATATTTTTAAAATTATCAATATTTTATTTACAAAAATTTCGTAAATTCCCTCTAACGGGGTTTTGGGGTTTTGGGG